GGGCCGGGGACGAGCGCGGCCCGTCCCGGTAACGCCCGCGCGGCGTTCGGGGCTGTGCTTGTGTCCTGCAGAGGTACATTGAGCGGCAAGGCAACCTGCGGGACCTGTACGACGACTGCGCGCGGGTCCTGCCGCCGAGGGGCTCGGGGCTCCCTCGGGTGAGTGGTGAACACCTGCGGGTGGGACCAGGAGCAGCGATGGGAGAGTAACCGCGGGGCAGGGCCAGAGTGACAGGGGATGTGTGAGCGCTGGGTAGACACGTCTCGATCACGGTGTGGGAGGCCCTGGGGCTGCACCACGTCGGGGAACACAGCACCAGCCCTGGGCAGGGGTGGGAGATCCCCGTGGCACTGGGCTTTGCAGCCAGACACTGCAGAGCTCTGAGCAAATTGCATAGCCCTGGGCACGGGTGGTCTCAGTGCCACTGTGTTTTCCTTCAGTCTGTCTCTCTCAATGCTCTCACAGGCTGAGGAAGGAGGAGCTCAGTGCCATTTCTGGCCCCAATGAGTTTGCGGAGTTCTACAACAGACTGAAGCAGATTAAGGAATTCCACCGGAAACACCCGAACGAGGTGAGTGGTTACTATGGAACAGGTGAGTGTGGCCTGTTGGACCTCAGCCCTGCAGCCACAGACCTTTGTTTTCCCCAGGTTAATTGCCCTAACATACAAGTGCTGAGTGCACTCAGGTGCCACTGGAGCAGTGTGAGCTCCTGAGAGAGGGTGTGAGTGGGAGCAGGACACTCAGTGTTCCCTGGTCAGGAGTGTCCTGTAGCTGGGCTGGGCTTGGGTCTCACTTTTCTCCTTCTGGCTGAAGCCACATGCTTTGCCTTTGTGCTGAAGGAGAGGTGACAGAGGGTGTGGGACCCCTTTTGTATTAGTAGTTTCATTGTCTGTGACCTCCTGTGGTTTGATACTAGTTGCTCTGGGACAGGAGCTGAAGTCAGTCTCTGCCTTGTGTTTGCCCCTGCAGATCTGTGTTCCCATGTCGGTGGAGTTTGAAGAGCTGCTCAAGGCCAGAGACAACCCGAGTGAGGAAGCTCAGAGTGAGTTTGCAGTTTGTTACTTGATGGGTTGTTTGATATGTTTTGCCTGTTTTAGGGCTTCACTTCCCTGTTGCTGAACAGCTTCTGAAATTGTTCTTTTGTCACTTAAATTGCTCCGAGCTGCAGTCCCTGAGCGTCCCACAGAGCTGCTGCTCCTGGGGGAGGTTCTGGTGCCTGCACAGAGCAGCAGCTGGGTCTGATCCGCGAGTGTCCAAGGCACTGGGATGCCTTCCTGAAGCATGGATTAGTTCACACCTAATCTTCTCCAGTTCCAAAGCAGTTGTATAGTAAATGGGAAATGTTAAGCTCATAATGAAGCTCTCTATGCCCTTTCCTGCAGACCTGGTGGAGTTCACGGATGAGGAAGGGTACGGACGGTACCTGGATCTGCATGACTGTTACCTCAAGTACATCAACCTGAAATCATCAGAGGTGAGTAGCTGCTGTGCCTGGGCACTTCCAGTGCCTGGAGTGTCACAGCAAGGGACCCCGGGGGCTGGGCAGGAGCAGGAGCTGCTCTGCCCTGGTGGCTGCATGTTGCTTTGGGTGCACATGTACGACCTCTGACTCAAGACTTTCTCTGCTTAGAAACTGGATTATATCACTTACTTGTCCACATTTGACCAACTCTTCGATATCCCCAAGGAGAGAAAAAACGCTGAGTATAAGAGGTGAGCTGTGTGCCTGCTTCCCTCAGGGCAGCTGCTCAGGAGTTTGCTGCTCCTCCCTCTGCAGCACGAGAGAGGCTGATTATCTGTGCTCATGTTCCCCTGCCAGGTACCTCGACATGCTCCTTGAGTACCTTCAGGACTACACAGACCGAGTGAAACCACTACTGGACCAGAATGAGCTTTTTGGGAAGATCCAGACGGAGTTTGAGAAGAAGTGGGAGAACGGCACATTTCCTGGCTGGCCGGTGAGGGTCTGGCTGGGGCTGTGTGTGTGTGTGTGTGGTCACTGCCAGGGGCCAGGGCACCAAACCCCCATGACAGGGTTGGGATGAACCTTGCTGCAGGTTTGCTTGTTTTGCAGCTCTTCCATTGGTTATTTTCAGTTTAGTGAGGATTTTTCTCTGTGAAATGAACTGCCTTTCTTGAGGTTAAAATATTCTTATGGCCTGATGTCACACAGCTTTTGCATGCATTTTTTCTTGTCAGAAAGAGACCAGCAGTGCTCTCACTCACGCTGGTGCCCACCTGGACCTCTCAGCGTTCTCCTCCTGGGAGGTGAGTTTCCAGTGCTCTGCACTCACACCTTTTGAGCAGATGCAACTCAGTCATTTGGCTTCTTTGCACACTTTTATTGCTGTGTTTTCGTCCCTGGCTCTGTGCTCACTGGGTGAAACTTTGATGATGCTGATTACTTGATTTCTCCCACTGGGGACTGCCACTTCAGAAATCTAGTTAGGTGTGTCACACTCCTCATTTTCCAGTGAGGAGAGGTGCACCCTTGACAGTCGTTCCTTGAGTACTGGTCACTGAGGTTTTTTCTTCTTTAATGAGCAAAATGGACTGTATGTGGTATGTGCTGAGCAGCTCATCTCTTACAGTGGTTTGTTTTTGTGAACAGGAATTGGCCTCTCTGGGACTGGACAGGTTGAAATCAGCCTTGCTGGCCCTGGGGCTGAAGTGTGGTGGGTAAGGTGCAATCTTTGTAGAGTACCTTCCAGTGTTTGAGGTCCTCCTGTCTCATATTCCTTTCTGGGATACTTGTTTGGTTGTCTGTGTTGTTGTACTAGAACTACCTTAGTGATGTTTGAAGGATAAAATATGAGGATTAAGCTGGGGGTGTGGGATCTGCTGCTCCGAACAGGTCCTGGACCAGTCTCTGGAACAGAAGATTTTGGCTTCAAGAATGAAGGCAAAAATAAGAGGAAACTCATCATCTCATAAAAGCTACATTTAGAGTTTTGTTGCATGAACTCAGATAGTTCTCAGGAACTGTACATTTCCTGAAATGTATGTTCTGGACTAATCCCCACCCTGGTCCTCCCTGCAGGACTCTGGAGGAGCGTGCTCAGAGGCTCTTCAGCACTAAAGGCAAATCCCTGGAGGCACTTGATCCTTCCTTGTTTGCTAAGAATCCAAAGACAAAAGGAAGCAAAAGGTGAGTTCTTGGAGGTCATTCAGAGGCTGGTGGTGTTCTCTTCCCCGTGGGTGAGGAGTGTTCTATAGTCACCACTCTTGCAGTCGTGACAGATTCTGGAGATGAGAAGCTTTTCATGTTGGGCCAAGTAGTGCTGAACCAAGTGGAAAATGTCAGAGCTGAACTTAGGCATTTCACAAAGTTACTTCTTCTGTTTCTAGAGACACTGAAAGGAATAAGGATCTTGCATTCCTGGAAGCTCAGATTTATGAATATGTAGAAGTTCTTGGGGTAAGGATTTTGTTTTGTCTTTGAGCTTTATATTTCAGAGCTGTCAAATAGTCACAGGGACGTTGTCCACATCTTTGCCCAGTGCTTTCACGGACAGCACCATGGGGGGATACTTTCTGTATTGCGCCTAAGTCACAGGGTATTGCAGACCTTGACTTGTTCTGCCTTGTTGTTTG